TGTTAGACATAGGCACTAGTGCTGGGATTACACCATTCAACAGCTTGCAAAGCGGATGAATTGACCGCCACTAATTTTAGCCTGGTATCCACCCCACAGCTGATTGAGCTTTTTTCTGGCCAGTGAATCCCTCTTTTTCATTCTGTTTTTCTTTTTCGACACACACACACACACCACACCACATACTGCGGCATACACTGGCTGCTGATAACCACCCAGGAGGATGAAAGAAGAGCTAGGAGAATGAGAAAGAGAAGAAAGACGTATGCGACCATGATTGTCAGGAATTGAACCCGTAACCTCTCGATTGGAAATCGACTGCACATACCACTGTACCATATGGGACACACACACACACACACACACACACACACACACACACGCACACACACACGCACACACACACACACATTTGTACTTGTTGCCCACTGCCAAAACTGGTCAGGTGGGTCTCCCCGGGAGAGGGGAGAGAGACTCAAAAGGAATCTTGGGAAGACGACTCAATTGGCTTTTGAACCGTCCAACGACCGACACCCCCTGAAATCCCCAAAACTCTGTGTGGACTTGAAAATGATCCCACTTATGGACTCACCACACCTCAGTATGTGTACACACACATACACACTGACATAGTAAAGATGGGTAGAAAGGGGAATTCGTGCACACCGAGGCAACTCACCACCAATGTTCATGTCTTCCACAACCTCCCGGTGCATACTGTGCGCAATGGGTGTGAGTCTCCCAGACTCTTGCAACACCGCATGAAGATAGGTCATGTGATCAAGGTCTGCCATGCATGGTGTTGTTCCGGGAGGATGCGATGACATCACACTGCACACTTCCTCGTAGCAGCGCTGCTGACACTCCGGATGCAGGGCTGGACAACAGTTGGCAGGAAACGAAAGCAGATACTAGTATAGTGAAGCATCTTTGCCAACAACCGCTTCGAACACGCTCGTTTCATTCCTTCCAGAGTTTCTATAACATAGTAACGAATACGAACTTAGAAGTTGCGACTTCGGCGGTAATAGTCATGAAGTTGGAACAATCAACTTCATAGTAACGAATGTTGTGGCTGATTTCTACAGTACGCATTTGTTATAACCCTTCCTCTTCTCAATCTATATGTTATAATTCTGATAATATTCCCAGTAAGCCATGAACGGAGACCCCTCGACTTAGGCCTGGGCCTTTGGGGAATCCGTAAAATAATAAAATAATAAATAAAAATAGAGATCCAAGGTTGGGAGATGAAAGTGGCGGGGGCGATTTCACATAAACCTTGGAAGATTAATTAATTAAGGAACTGGTAATCCGTGTTTGGGGCTTAAAAGGTGGTGCTCAGTGACTGCTCGAAAAAGCATTTCAAAAATTTACAGAACCACAAAAGCTTTTATAATAATTATTACGGCGTCCAACTACTCGAATTCTGTTCCGATTCCTTACTGATATACCAAAGATGCACGAAATATATGTTGGACTCAGTAGAGCGTCCAGCCCCTATATGATGTCCAACCCCTATATAGAGTCCATTGGTCCAAAATCCACTTTACAGAGTCCAAACTTGGAATCAACTGTGAGCTCAAAGTTTAGATGGACATCACTCCCTGTATAGAGTCCAGGCAATTGGCTTCACCCCTCTATAGAGTCCATTGGTCCAAAATCCACTGTACAGTGTACAGAGTCTAAACTTTGAAATCGACTATAAAGAGTCTTTATGTGGACAACACTTCCTGTAGAAAGTCCAGCCAATTAGGCATCCCCTATCCAGAGTTCAAATTAGACATAGGATCTGCTGTAAGCAGTGAATATTGACCAGAAAACTGCCTCGCCCTTTAATCCTTTATATCATTCACTTCTCAAGATAAAAAAATAAGTATTGAGGCGCCACTGCAGCCACTTCATTACATGAAAAACCTTACAAACACCATCCTCAAATCAAGTGGTCTCTTCGCTGCAAATTACAATGTCTCCATCATGTAGTGTTTTCGAAATAATTATTGTGCGCACACACACGTGCACACTCAACGCCAAGAAAATACTAAGAAAAAACCAAGAACCGAAAGAGAATAATGAGGATATGATAGAGAGCCAAGGATTAATTTATTGTTTTCAAATTATTGTGCGCGCACGCGCACACACACACACACACACACACAATACAACACAAACATACACACACCACCTGTGCTGTCCCTGTGCTGTGCTGTCCCTGTATGGAATGCCCTACCACCCGCCGTCCTCAGCCAGCCACCTGACCGGAAACGGCTGCAAAGTTTCAAAGTGTCTGTCTTCCGGCACCTCCGTGCTCAGCAATGGCACTGGGCCACTGACACTCTGAAATATGTATACACATCTGCCTACACACTGCTGCATATTGCCATACACCTCGTGCCCTGCTTATCCCTTTCTCTGGAACTAAATGTGCACCCCTTACGCATTATAATTATACTATATTTAGTTCTCTCCTCCTCTCTTGCTCCCCCACCCTCCCCGCTCTCTCTCTCTCTCTCTCTCTCTCTCTCTCTCTCTTTCTCTCTCTCTCTCTCTCACACACACACACACACACACACACACACACACACACACACACACACACACACACACACACACACACACACACACGCACACACTCTCTCTCTCTCGTGTTAGACTTACCTGTCTTTATAAATGTAACTCTCTCTCTCTCTCTCTCTCTCTCTCTCTCTCACACACACACACACACACACACACACACACACACACACACACACACACACACACACACACACACACACACACACTCTCTCTCTCTCTCTCTCTCTCTCTCTCACACACACACACACACACACACACACACACACTCTCTCTCTCTCTCACACACTCTCTCTCTCTCTCACTCTCTCTCTAGTTGCACACTCTTGGGAGGTTGTAATTATAGCACTCTTGGTACTGGTACATGTAAACACAACAGTAAGTGAGTGATGGCATGAGTGTAGGCATGGTGAGGTGTCGGTGCCTGGAGTACTTGTACTTGTAGCCAGGAATTACATGAAAGCTCTGTCGCAATATTAATTTTAGTTCTGAAGTACATGTTGTACAATAAATACAATTGTACATACTGTTCCGTCCTTTGTGGACTCATCAGCGCAGCACAGAGAACATGAGGCCGAACCTAATAGCAATAAAAAAATGTATTGTTCTCCTCCGTCTGCTTGGTGTCATGCACTTGTTCACACTTGATTATCTCCTGGAGTCTCTGAGTGGGACACTTAACATGGTAGAGTCTGTGTTGTCTTGTGATTTGGAGATGTACATGTATGAATTGTTATGGTCAGCTAGCTACATCGTATAGCCTCTCCTTGAATACTAGTAGTAGTAGTTGTTTGTTCCCAGATGGAGAGGGGAGGTTTACATTAGGTTTTACAAGTACAGCTGTATTACAATCATCCTATAAATTACATGACAACCAACGAGTAGCAGATTGAACACGAACCTCGGAGTCACTTGAACATTTTTGGTCTCTGTTGTTCTGTTTTTTAGAACACGGAGGCTCCACTGCACTCTGCAGCCAATTCATACTTTGATCAGTCACTACCACTAGTCACTACAAAAAATTTCGTTGACGCTGCAAATGTTATTCAAATGAGATCTCCAAATTTTTCGCCCTTGGGGCTTCATCTGTTGTTCTGCCTTCTGTATAGTAGTGTGCTACTGGTTACGTGACATTCTCATGCCGTCTATGTCATGGCGCGTGTATGTTATGGTGGAGTGACGTGACTTTGCCGTACTCTCTCCTTTCCTTCGCCGTACAGTGGCTCACTGAGTCTGACAGCGTGCTAGCACGCCTTCGCCATCTCCGGTAAACACAACCCTCCACAGCTGAGTGGGCCAATTATCTCCTTATCAGAGGATTGATTGCTCCAGCTGACTAACAAAGGGGCCAAACCAGGAGCGCAAATATCCGCCATCTGCCCCGCATACTCCACTAGAACACTGGCCGTCCATCGATCCGTTCGTCTGATTGACAATGTCACATCACGTGTGTCTAAAGGCACTCACTCCATGTTTTTTATTATTCCCTCTCGCAGGTTGAGGCCTAGGGGTGGGAACGGGAGGGAGAGGGTTAAGCGGCATTAGACGTACAGCTAGGCATATGCGGATAATGCCGGCAGAAAAATTGGCAGAATTCGGTACTTTTTCTGGTAAGTGTCATGCATGTTTGGTATGTGGATAAAGAAATGGAGCAGAATTCCAGGAATTTCCCGCCATAAGGTTTGTATGGTTCTGCCAATTTCACAGCTTTTCGAGCAGAATCTGCCACCTTTTCGAGCAGAATCCGCGCACCCCTACGTACAGCTGCGTATTACACAATCAACCTCACCCACACCAACCTGGGTCTATTACAACAACTCGTGCGAATAACAACTCTATCTTCAGACCAAGAAACAGAAGATTATATACACCGAGTCTAGCCTAGGGACTTTAGACAACTGTCTACACCGAGTGTACATGTACCTTTAACCTCACGAATAGCAACCCGTTTCCCATGAAGGTCGTTATTTCCCAGTTTGACTTTACATCACTGCAAGAAAGCCTACCTCTCCAACGCGATGCAATGAGTTGTTGCTCCTAAGGCCATGAATGAATGTGAATACTTCAAAGTATGCTGAATTCGTTCTCAACGTCACACTCACCTAGTTGATGGAGTGCCCACATGATGGAGTACGCTGTCGTCTCATAGCCCGCTGTCAGTACCAGCACCGCTTCGTCGCATATCTCCTCCTCCGTGAACGCCTCCGTTCCGTCCTCCGTCAACTCGAGCATCATGTCGAGCGTGTCCGGAGGCACTTCCACACCTTCGTACCTATCCGCCCTCCGTCGTCGCACGGCTGGAAGGATGACCTCGTTGCGGATGAAGTTGTGAGTGCATCGCAGCTTGTAGTTCTTACACATGTCGAGGTAGGAGAGGAAGTCGAGTGGTCCGACTTTGGCGATGCGCTCCGCGAAGGCTGTCAACAGGTAGTCGAGGCTGTCGAGAAATCGTTTCCTGTGCCCAATGTCCGTGGCGTTAGTTTCACCAGCAGAAAGATTGACACCGAAGCCGAAGTTTGCGAATGCATCCACCAACATGGCGCCTATGTCGTTACTTTTGATCAGATCCAAAGCAAAGGGCGCTGGTGTACCTGCGGTGCTCTTAGAGTTAGGTAGCGTTCCGAAATACGTCGTTGTCACATCAGTCATGACGTTAACGAACCTGGAGAGGGCCGGGCGGGACAAGAGGCTGGCTGTGAGGAGCTTCCGGTGGCTTCTCAGTTCGCCGCCTTGCAACGCAGTCAGGGATTTGCGTCCCAGGACACTGCTTGATGCGGGTTGCAGACTAGCGAACCTGCCCGTTTTGCTGGACGTCGTGGCAGTGGCGATCAACTGCGGATCGTTGATACTGTAGACGGGTTTGGTCAGCCATCTGGGACCGAGAGCATAGATCGCCATTACCGGCTCCGGAGCTTCTCGAGCTAGGTCGTGTAAGTTGAATCGAAACTGCTCCGCCCCACGATTGTTGTGGTTGACGATGTAACCCACATGCCCCGACCACCAACTATACCCTGTTTGCAGTATTTTGGGAGTCTTCCCTCGACTTTCGGAAGTAGGTCTGCCTGAAGACGTTTCTTTCCGAGATATCAGCCATGCTAACAGCAACAGTGGGACACAGGTCAGCAAGAACAACTGTATAGCATCCATCATCTTAGAGCATGTGGGCAGCTGTGACCAAGGGAAGAGGGTTCAGTTTCTGCGTTCTCAATCTGAAGCCCAAGGAGCGCTGTGACCGAGTCAAACCGAGCACCACTACCAGCCCAAACGGAGCGCTCGCTTCGTCTGCTCCGGAATTTATCTGACAAAGCGTTGGAGCTGTGCGATGGAGACCCACGCCGTGAGCTGGCCCGTGCCCCTGTCGGGCATTTTCGGCCAGAACCCTACTGTGTACTGTCTGGGAACCGGGAAGTCGACCTTGAAAACACGTGCACCATCGACTCCCTAGCTACCCTGTGAGTGTGAGGCTGTGAGCGAGGTCACTGCTACTACTAGTCGAATCTCAGGTGTTTACTCCCGGAAGTCACGTAGGCATCACCGTGAACGTTGCTTGAGAACAGCTCTTAGTCGTGCCCCTAGTGGCTTGTCAGCGGGTGGAGGTTGGTTGATGGCACATGCCATCCACTTGATCAAAGACAAATCTACACGCACGTTTTTTTAAATCCGACCTATGGAGTTGATAAGCTACTGTTTTCGAGAACCCTGCGTTATGCGTTGCCAATCATAATGGTCGTTCAGTAGTCATGTACACTCTACTGTTGTGTACATTGAAATCCGGTTGAATGACCGGGCGTGTCGGCCCTTGCTACAAACAGTTTTGGTAGTCATGGACGTGCATGCTCGCTTTCACTATTCCGCAAATCTGTACGTGATCACACAGGGTACCCTGTAAAAAGGCCTTAGGCCTGTGGGGATTGCACTATTCAAAATTTAAATAATAACAACAATAATAATATAGCTTGGTCTCTTGTGAGGATATGCACGGCCGGAGCATGTGTGGCCTGGCCCGCTACATGAGTACCAGCCCAATAGACCGAATAAGCCTGCTTTATCAGTATCATCAACAAAAACCTGCAACAAAAAGCCACTCAATAACTGCAAAGGCCGCTAAGTTCCTGTCGAGTTTGGATCTGCCAGCAGCTGGACCAGCTTTACCCAATAAGCATACCATTAAACAAGCGTGCGCAGAGCGAAAATCCAAAACACTTTCCACTATGCCGCTGCATGGGAGATATTGGAGCCGCTTGGAGGAAAATCGCCTCGATAAGGAGCTTACCTTCATGTGGCTGAAATCAAGAACACTGAAACCTTCAACTGAAGGCATGGTTATGGCAGCACAAGACCAATCCCTCAAAACGAAAAATTACCAATACGCCATAATGAAGTCAATTGCTCGAACTGATGCCAATTGCAGGCTTTGCAAGGGCAGCTTAGAAACAATTGACCACATTGTCAGTGCCTGCCCAGTTCTTGATCGGACCAGTTACATCGAACGTCATAACCGGATAGTAAAGTATGTGCACTTCGAAATATGTAGAGCACGAGATCTACCTACTGGTGCTTCACGATTCGACCACCAGCTCAAGGAATTGGTCAAAAGTGATCGGTATCGGCTCTATTGGGAGTATTCGGTCCCAACTGACCTGAAACTATCAGCAAACAGGCCCGATCTGCTCCTTGTTGATGACAAGGAGCGTATCGCATACATTATAGACATCAGCGTTTCTGGTGAGAACAACATCAATAAGAAAATGGCTGAAAAGGGCTCGAAATATTATGACTTGAAGCGGGAGATTTTCCGAATTTGGTCCCTCACCCAGGTTGACGTGGTCCCTGTGGTTGTCGGTGCCCTGGGAGGCTTGGTGGGGGAGACTCCTCAATGCCTCCGGACTGTGCAGGGAGGAGACCTGGCTATTGTGCAACAGGAGGCTATCCAAGGTTCGGTTAAAATACTACGAACTGTCCTTAACAAGTACTGATGTAGATGCACATCTGCTGCGTTTTCATGTTCAATAGCCAAGAGACTTGAATAACGACTGATAAAGATATTTCCTTTGTAATCCCCACAACAACATCAACGTCCTTATCATTTGTACAATACCTGTCGTTGCAAATTCTTTATTATTGTTTTGATGTTGGAGTTTGGATTGAGTTTCTTTCCTTTCTTCCTCTTCCTTCCCCTATTTCTTGTCCCTTTGGTTTTTGGCTTTTTATTTTTTTTCACTTTCTTTTTGCTGTCCCACCCATGGAAATATTTCCCGGTGGGTCTGGCTTATCGCCTTCGAAAGAAGTGAATAAAGGAGACATAATAATGCAGCCCATCGTGGTCCATGTCCTATGCGTATGCCTGACCGAACGTGGACGCTCTAACTCGGTGTGAGGAAAGGAATGGCGAGAACATCTGATAGCCTTGCTGGACAGTGACGCTGCGGTATGAACTGGACAAAGAGCTTCCCTCTGTCCTGAACTTACAATTAGAGAGGTTAATAGATGCACGCTATTACTGACGTGACGTGAAAGTTCAGGTCGCGTTATTTGGCGGGCACGTCGAAAAAACGAGAATGACCTGCAGCTCACGTCGAAATTTGGAGTTTTACGCCAAATATGACGTGAAATTGCGCGTCACGTCGGAAATAACGTGCATCTTAAAATCTATTGACCGAGGATGTAACTACAGTCGGCGTCACTTGTTGAAGTGGTAGGTGAGTAGCCCTTTCCCAAAGATGCTAAAGTATTTCGCAACTTATGCTTTTCGTAGGCCTCGACCGCATATTTTGTGTGACAGTTCATATAATATATGAACTGTCACACAAAATATGCGACATATTGAGCGACAAAGGGAATATTGGAATGAAGCCAGAATATAATTCAAATGTTCTGAAGAAAATGAGGACAAAACATTCATATGATGGACAAAATGCGCTCAGAAATGCCTTTTATGGATGAATTTGGAATGGTTGAGGCGTTTGCTACATCTCCCCATGGATGAACACTATCGCTACTGTTGCTGGGGACACACCCCAGCCATACTATTCCGAATGTGTTTTATATTTATATTATATTTATTACAACATCTCAAGACTCGGTGGAAACACCGGCCAATGTTAAGAGAGTGGGTGATTGCCAACCACGGCGATAAATAAAAATAAGGGGAGGGAAAAAGAAAGAGTAGCAAAATGAACAGCAACAACAACTCCGTAAAGAAAGATAATGTCAAATAAAAACAGTGAAAAACACAGAGACGCAAAGGACATGTGGATAATGAGCTATTTATGTCGTAGTAAATAAGGGGCGGCACGGATCTTAAACAGGCGGAGTGAGGTCAGGTCCTTAACTTCTCTGGGTAGAGTGAGCCAAACAGAAAAAGCAATTAAGAGAGGGGAGCGCAAAAGAGTGGATGAGTTACACTTAGGGAATAAGAGCGAGTTTCTAGTTCTTAGAGAAGAGAACCAATTATTTTGTGAGCGATTTTATAAAGGGCGGATGATGAGAGCATGTGGGGTTGACGCAGGAGAATTTTAAGGATTTTCTTGGGGTGTATTTCAAGCTTTGCAGCAGCGGAAGAGGATAAGCATGATAGCCGTGAAGCCAATGAATATTTCAAGGTTGTAATTTTACTGAAATGATCTACACTTTCTGCTTATGTTGAGCATATTTTGGCATATTTTGGCATATCTTTTTGCATATCTTGCTAAGCCTTCGGCATATTATGGACGTTTTGCCTGATATGCGACGAGCATAATAATTATGCTCTATTTTTTAGCATATTTGGCCGAGGCCTAGCTTTTCGCAACCATGCCAAAACAACTGTAAGTTGCTGATATCGCATCCATATTTTCAGAAAAAGCTTAAAAGTTGCTGATATTGCAACTCAAAATGAGTGAGTTCTTGTGCATCAGCTTCATGTGTTATAATGATTCCAAAAACAAGCAAAACACTAAGCAGCGGAAATAGACAACACTGCAGCATACTGTGCACATGGCGCAGCATAACCATGACAGAGTTAAAAAAAACATGTTAGCTTTGGAAAATGAACAGATTTGGAATGAGTTTGTTGGCGCTTCGCACACAGCATTCATGATACTTATACATGTACAGTCAAACCTCATTAGGACGAACACCGAGGGACCGGTGGTATTTGTTCGTAATAACGGGAGTTCTTCATATCCATACCTTATACCCAGTGAATACACAGTGATTTATTCAACAGAGCTATGAACACTATAGTTCTTCTAAAGCGAAAGTGTGTCTTATCAGTGTTCTTCTTAACGACGTTTCACTGTAGTGTAGTTATCATACTTCAGCATTGCTCAGTTCTACCACATAATTTTACTTACATGTATGTACAGTATAATTATTATGTTCTTCAAGAAGTACACTCTTGACGTTTGATGGTTTGATGCAATGTTCCAGCGCTTCTTGATGAAGTAGAGGCCGCCTAGGCCCTGGCGGATAATGCCGGCAGAATTTCGAGCAGAATGTGGGTTATTTTTAGAAAAGGAGCAGAATGAGCAGAATTCGGCAGAAAAGGGCAGAAGAAGGAGCAGTTACTCTGCAGAACCAGATACGAAGTGCGGAGAGGGCTGCTGGCGCCTCTTTACGGCTCCATTGTGTTCACAAGCACGTGAACTGAGCTAGGCCCTGGCGGATAATGCCGGCAGAATTTCGAGCAGAATATGGGTTATTTTAGAAAAGGAGCAGAATTCGGCAGAAAAGTGCGGAAGAAGGAGCAGATACTCTGCAGAACCAGCTACGAAGTGCGGAGAGGGCTGATGGCGCCCATTTGCGGCTCCATTGTGTTCACAAAATACGGCAGAATACGAGCAGATTGGGGCAGAATACCGGCAGAATACGAGCAGAATGTAAAGCAGAATACGCTACTTTCCCGAGCATTATCCGCCAGGGCCTAAGCAGAGCATCACGGACACTTCAATGGTCTCCTCCAAGGCGTTTCTGTGCTTACCGTTGTGGGCAAGTTGTGAAGTACTTCGTGAAAATGAAGAAAGTTGCGAAAGTGGCGATTTCTTCCACAACCACCAAAAGTGGCGAGCATCTTTGGGAAAGGGCTATAGGTGAGGCTACCAGCCTGGCAACATATTGCCAAGCTTGTCTTTACTCGTCTGCCTTCACCAGTCTCAGCAGAAATATACACATGTACATGTACATGTACATGTACATTGTATGATATGGAAATAATACATGTATGCTGGACTCAGTAGAGCGTCCAGCCCATTATGATGTCCATCCCCTATAGAGTCCGTTGGTCCAAAATCCACTGTATAGTCTAGGCCTTTGCGGATAATGCCGCCAGAAAAATTGGCAGAATTCGGTACTTTTTCTGGTAAGTTTCATGCATGTTTGGTATGTGGATAAAGAAATGGAGCAGAATTCGAGGAATTGCCCGCCATAACTAATTACTTGGCATAAGGTTTGTATGGTTCTGCCAATTTCACTGCTTTTCGAGCAGAATCTGCCACCTTTTCGAGCATTATCCGCCAATGCAGTACTAGTAGATCTACGGACTGCAAAAGATCTGACATGTGACAATGCATGACACAATCATTATGCCTTGTAATGACAGAAACTGAGAAAGAGCACAATACGATGATGTCATGCATATCATGCATGCATTTAATATCATGGTTATCTTGCATTCATTCATGCCTCATGCCATGGTGTCAAAAAGATCCTTGGCGTTTAGGGAAATCCCCTGCGCCCCCTGCACTTTCTACTTCAGCAGACATCAAGGGTTGTGGGCCAGTTGTGGCCACGCGCGGGAAATCAAACATGACATGCCGAGGATCAAACGCTGTGCAAGGCTCGAATCGAAGCAAGACGCAAGGATGCGGCCGGCCATCGTCATCATCATCATCTCTCACTAATCCCCTCTTGTTGAATGTTGTTGTTGTCACTACTAGCTCACTCGATCGAAACAGTTTCACCGAGCACTTTCGCAGTTTCGATACAATCATGTAGATCTACATGTCGGTCTACCACAGTACGGCGTAGAAGCACGCTGGAACCCCACCTGGCACTAGTGCACTACAATGACATGTCTTGTAGGTGCTAGGCAGTGGCATGCTTGCTCGGCTATGCATGGAGCCATGCATGCCCCCACGTCCACGGAATACACCGTACCACCATGACCACGGACAGCAACTAACTTTTTTCGTAGTGCCAGGCCGGGTACGCGTGTGCCATGCCCGGCCATGGTGTACCAGCATGCATGACAGTCAAGATTGATAGCATGCTAGCACCTGCGCAGCGAGGAAGAGTTCGCTGTCAATCGGATCATGTATTGTTGATGACTGTCTTTTTGACTGTATGCTCGTTATCATGGTTATGCGCATGTCGTAACGAAGGGCCACGTGCTTTCACGAGTTTCGGTTGAGCGCATATCATGAGCATGAAGTGTAAGAGTTCAGCTAGCTGCTAGAGGTTAGCAGTTGCGGACCCGAACAAGAGGACAAGTAATATTATTAGTTTAGTTTCTTGTAAGGCGAGCAGTGGTCTTCTTGGTCAACGGCTGGACAATCAGCGAAGACTGACCGGATTTTCTAACATCTCGTCTCGCCACCTCTGGCTTTGGCAACGCCGGCCACCGGTATCACGATGGACGTCCTCGAGGTGGGAAGCAACAACGGCACAAGGTAAAATAAAATATTATTAATTTCAGAACAAGAGTTCGATAGATATTCGCGCGCGGGAAATAAACTGTTTCAAGTGTTTCTTTTCAATGAGTGGCCACGTTCGCTAGCTGGCACATGCTCATGCCGTGACCGCTTCAATCAATGATGTGTCTGCAACATGGCTGAATGAATGCTGATTGGAACTCCGGCATTGCGTTGTAAAATATCACCTGTTCATTGGGAAACTAACTACTTCAGTACTTGTCCAGTTGAACTGAGTCTGTAGTTGGGAATACTGTAAAGTGAGAAACTTTCGCTAGAGATTAAATTTCGCTATTTTCGCGACCATCACACATTCGTGAATATAAATCACTGCAAACCTCTCCGTACATTGATTGTAGACAGTGCAAGAGCCGACTGAAGAGATAGCATCGCAAACGTTTCTCATCGTGAACCAGCCCGATTTATGAAAACGCTAAATTTGCACATCTCGAAAGTTTGTCGCTTTGCTGTACCAGTTAGATCAAATTTTCGAGTTTTGCATAAAACGCTCGTTTTCTGAGACAAGGAGCTGCAACCAGCCCTAGAAAGCTGTAAGAAAATGAACCGAAAACTCCTATGCAATCCACAGTTTATGGACGATTGCATTTGTTGTCGAGGCAATAGCTTGCGTGGTCGCGGAAAGCAATGCGGGTACGATTGGGGGTGGTGCGGTTCCAAGGACTTTCTGACCTTAGCAATAGCCGCCTAGCAACAGGTGCCTAGCAGCAGCTACCTAGCAGCAGCAAAGTTCATGTGATTCTTTCCAAATTCGCACAGGGATTGTGAGCTGCGCTGTGTTACCGCGTCCAACTCCTACGTTGTCATCGTCACCACTTGTCAGTAGAGTGGTTAAGATGTACGTTATTTCCGACGCGACGCGTAATTTCACATCATATTTGGCGTAAAACTGCAAATTTAGACGTGAGCTCCAAGTCACTCGCGTTGTTTTGACACGCGAGCCAAATAACGCGTGCTAAACTTTCCCGTCACGTCGGAAATAACGTGCATCTTAACCTCTCTAATGTTCGCACATACCGTACAGGGGTGTCGGAAGGTACTCTAGAGTGGTATGGCCAGCAAACCTGAAGTACAATTTCCTTCTGGGGTTGGGGTGGCTTCTCTGAAATTTTTCGAAATTTAGACCCCAGATGAGTGCTTCTTGTTGATTCACAAGCTACCTGGAACAAACAGTGCTACGGTCAATACCGTCGTGACTGTCGCGTGTCCGGCGCCCCTGCCTTATTTTCGGAAACAAGCGCCGGTGTTTCATTACCGCCTCTCTGAAATAGGCAGCACATCATTTCAGGGCATTTGTTTGGATTTTTTAATTGGGCGAAATTTTAGGGCTCGCAAACTACTACGGTCCATTCATTGGAAACTGGCAACCTAACTCTTTGATGTCTCTCGCACATATAGTAAAACCTGTAATGGCGACCACTCGACCATGGCGACCACTCGACCATGGCGACCACTCGACCATGGCGACCACTTTGCCTTGTCACGGACGCATTCACGTTCAAAACACCTCGGATAAGGCGACCACTCGCTCAACGCGACCAACGACCACCCACCCGCGACCGCGTTGCACAGTGCTAGTCATGTAAATGTACGCTTTGCATGGCGCACCAGGCATGGTAGATCTACACATCAGTGCAGGAAGTGTAGATGTACATGGTGCATGCACGGCATTTGACAGGTCTGCGGACCCCAGGTACGTGAGTCGTGCTAGAGTAGCATAGGCGTGTGCACTGTGATACACTGATCAAAATGATGTATCACATGTGGATATGGTCACGTGACCCGCTGAACCTGGATAAGAAGACCACCTGGCCACGGCGACCACTTTTTCTCGTCCCCTGAGGGGTCGCCTTAGACAGCTCTCTCACATAGTTGTAGATATCGTGAAAACAACAGTACTTCCTCCGCGTCATCGAAATTGTCGCAGTTTGACTAGTGACTTGTCACTTGTTACTGACAACTCCATAAAATAAGCCATTCGAAACTTATTACACAGTATGATAGTCTGAAGACTAGAGTAACGTTCCAGGACAATTGGACTGAGAGTTTTCATGCAGAGATGAAGTCCTCGTCGTCGCTGATGTCAATGGACGCAAAAATATCGTTCCCAAATATTTCAAGGAAGGTTGAAAGTTGGTCGCGCCTCATCTCAAACGCTTTGACTTTCTCCACAGGACAAGAGCTGCTAAGCTTGTCGTCTGCTAGCTCTGGATGATTTCTACTTCACCACCAACGAAGCCTAGTAAGAATACACGATCGTTGCGAGGTCGGTTGATTACCGTCGGCGGAATCACCTCGGAATAACCTCGATCTAGAAATGAACTTTTTTTTAGCCGTGGCATGCCCACAGCTCATGCAGGTAAGTGTAGTATCACGTCCAGCGCGCCCTCTTTTTCAGCACTGGTATACCATGGTATGGCACCTGCGCGTGCAACACTAGTACTAGTAGTACTAAACTAGCACTACGTGTAGAGTCTACACGGCTCTTGCAGGTACAATCATGTACTAGTAGTACTAGTAGTACTGAGTGTCTCGGCCAGAGCGACAAATTTTATCGCTGTTGCAGGCATTTAGTTTGCCGACCCCTCGATGTTTCTCCGAGCGCTGCCACTTGTTCCACGAAGTCATTCTCACCCCAGCTAAGGTAAAGCAGTGATGGGGCTTGAGGGAATGGCCATAAGCACGAGAAATGTGCAGGCTGCAACACCTGACTGATCTCAGCGAGTCGAAATTACCAGCGCAGCGACATCAGCGAAGAAATTGCGTCTAGTTCAAAAATTCCAGCTTCCAATAACAGAAAATAGAACTTTGCCGTCACCCTATACTGATGACTATCGCCTATGTCCGATTTCTTGCCTCTGGTACGAGTGCTGGTGAGTAAATACTGCATTTTACATCAAAAGTCAAACTGCGACAATTTCGATGACGCGGAGGAAGTACATCCTGCATTGTGTGACCCGTGCAATTACTCCTTGTCACATTTGAGGCCACAAAAGTCCAAGAACAGGTAAATAGAAATTCAGCCAGGTTTTACAAAATTAGGACGGGTATGCCATGGCAAAATGTATGGAGAAGCAGATCCAAAACCCAGATTTTTGAGATTTAAAGTGGGTTTTCGATCCTCAATTCGGCCCAAATCCGACTTTTAAAAGCCAGCGGGCTAGTTTCCGATGAATGGACTGTAAGCGCCTCGGTCAGTATAGTGTCAAAAATTTGTTGTAATATTATTGTATTTATTTTATACAAAAGAGAAAGACCAAGGAACTACATGTACAAGTTACACTATACTGTCCACTAACACCACAAGTTACTGAACAATCAGCTCATGCAATAACATTGCACGACACTGACCGACGGTACTGACATTCTACAACTAACTGGCTTCCCCTCCTTATGTTATTTCTATAACTTAGAACCTTCCAAGTTGGAACGCTGTTGGAGTGCGCATCCAAGATGTGCTAGAGCCCTTAGCCAGTTAGTTGTAGAACGTCAGTACCGTCGGTCAGTGTCGTGCAATGTTATCGCATGAGCTGATTGTTCAGTAACTAGTGGTGTTAGTGGACAGTATACAGGGGCGTCGGAAGGAGGTAGAAAGTGGTACGGCTCTACAGTCAGAGGGGGTGTTGGGGAAACTGCACCCGGGAATTATTTAAAAAAAACACTCAAAATACCCCTCTCAGAGGGTCTCCAAAGGTACAAAGTCATTAAGGATAACAAAGAGACCGACTGTATAAGCAATGGAAAATAATGCCACAGTTCACTGGCTTGGTTCCGCGTATGCAAACACAAAAACATTCTATGCTGGGACAATACACAGCCAAGATGTGCATACCAAAATGTATACCAGCCAATGTTTAGAATGCAGATACTAAACTTTAACCCTTTATGTACCAGCCATCTAATGTATGTAAGGGGTGATCGCAGCCAAAGAAGCAACCATGGTATGAAATCTAGACAACTTTTGTATATGCAAGTTTTGTTTTCCTGACTCCATATGTATCACTGTACCCAGGTAAGCATGGATATTGGTACAGCATGCAGTAGTATAATTATGAAGGCCATAGGTGGAATACCAAAAATACGCACCAATTGTGCATATTTCTGACCAACCAGGGTATCACAAACAAATAGACTGAGAATTAGTTTGTGCTCATGTACTGGGAACATAGGGACAAAACAACCTCATAAGCGTTGTCTCAGTGCATGAAGAGCAACACCATACCAGGGATATGGTCATATTGTCACATATTTGAGGTGAAACAATTGGTTCAAAATTGCAAATTTTGAATTCTTGTGTCCGATTCGAAATCAATATTTTTCTTCATCTACTCACATCCAGCGTGAGGTAAGTGAAAGAGAAGACAAGAAGCAGTCGCTGGCTGGGGAATTACGCCTGCCTTGACGATTTTAGGCCATCACTGCCCTCCCTCTTGCTCCTGTTTTGAGAGCGAATACTGCGATGGGATCAGCGATACAAATTTTCAATTTCGAATCGCATTCCGCGATGATATCGCCACAGCCGATCTCTCCAATCGTCCACCACATCTAGAAGACGTCGACATGACCTAGAACAAGCTACATCTTTGCTACAAGCAGAGAAACTGAGCGAGAACACGATTGAAACAGCGACCATTGTTTGCGCTGAAAAGCATATTTTTGAACGCGTTCGTTCTCTATACTTTCAAATGGCAACCTACCCATGTCGTACATCAAAATTTTCAGTGGGATCTCAGCTGTCCAGCGCAAAACAAACTGCGGCTCAATCGGAGCTACGGCGGCGGGGACCGGCGCGCTTGATTTGAGTGTAGCGAACCGTACCATATGGTACGGTTCGAGATGGGGCTGGTACACAGAGGGTAAAATGCAAAGCTTAGAATTTGCCAAATACTTGGTAACGGTGCTCATTTCCAGTGACAAAGTCATTGGCAATATCCATCAGGTTCAGTGCATCACACTGATCCTTGTGGACATGCAAAGCAGCACAGCTGTTCAGCCGCTGCTGCGTCAGGGTCGAACGTAGGTAGGACTTCAACCGTCGCAGTGCAGAGAAGGCTCTCTCACTGGTGGCATTTGTAGCTGGACAGACAAGAACCAGTATCAGCAATGACACCACTTCGGACAGAAACTTTTTGCTGTTTGGCACCGTCTTGACATGGGAGCGAATATCTCCAAGGCTTGGTGTTCTTATATGAGCTGTTGCAAAGTTTGACTGAATGATTTTCAACTGATCAGCCAGCAGCTCGTGTTTCGAATCATCGCCGTACATCTCACTCAGGTGCTGAAGTTCTTCTGTGATACCCTGCCCTCTTGCGCCTTTGAGGATACAGCTCTCTATTTTCTCATATTCATGGTATCCAGGCTGATCAAAGCGGTCATGGATGGCTTGGATGATGGTGTCCGCAGCTGAAAAGTATATCTGGTGGAAATGATCCTCAACTGTGGATGGAAAGTGTGCTGCGCCACCTCCTTGTTGAAGCCTGCAGGGAACCTGACAGGAAAAGCAAGCCATAGACAACATTCTCTTAGAGATATTGATGGCGAGAACACTTGCTGTGGGTTAGAAGAAATAAAGCTCATGAGTTACAACACAAGTAGAAGTAATACATTTATGATTATCACCGGGACACAGAATTGGGAACAAAATTAATATGAAAGATCAAACCCACCTTCCTTCGTCGAGGAAGTGTTGGTTCATCAACATCACATGACTGTTTCTTGCTGATAACCTCCACCCAGAACTTGCGAAACTCCTCATCTGTACGTAGATTTCTCAGCGTATCAAGAGTTTCCCTTGCCAAAACCTGAAGTACCAATAGCAGCAGAACAAAATTCCGTGAGAGGATTGTCATCTTCAAACTTGAATTCTTTTTCATCACATTTATTGCATACAATGCATATAATACACCAATGATGTCATACATTTGCACCAAATAACCGTAGCAAAGAGCGGCAATAACAGCAGCAGCAGCAGCTACTCACTCACCAGGCCTTCGGCGGCAGACAAATCCTCCTTCTGTAGCGTTGTACTGAGGTTATCAGCGAGTGTCAGCACTTTCTTTCCAAGGGAGACACCGAACAGGCAGTGGAATGACGAAAACTGTGCAGCAAGGCCATTGCAGCGTGCCGACATCTCATGATCATACCGGGACATTTCTGTAAACTTCTCCAGGCACGCTTGCAAACACTCGTAGTTGGACAGAATGCTGGCCAGTGCTGCAGCACGAACTGTCCACCTGGTTGGGCATAGAGTGCGCACTCCAGCTTCTTGTGGGGCAATCTCTGCCTTCAACCGCTTGTACTCGGCATTTCTCTTTGCAGAATACTGCAGGAGTTGGGTAAGTTCCAGAGCGTTATCCAGTGCATCTGTCACCACTTTCACGCCCCGGACCATATCTTGGCATGCTAAGTTCAACGCATGACCGTAGTAGTGTGTGTAGAGGGCTTTCGGCTGATGTCTCAGTATCTGCGTTGCAACACCATTCTCGTGGCCCTTCATTACGCCAGCACCATCATAACGCTGGCCACGGCGCATATTTTCACGCTAGTGCTTATGACTTTCAGCTATGCAAAATGCAAACATGATCACGTATCCAATACCGGTAGTCTATTATATTAATTATTCATATCTTTTTGCATCTTTCCCTCGAGTGGGTCTATTGTTATTTGGCAATTGTCTGTTATAGTCACCACTATAAATAAAAATCCAATCCAAATCCAATCCATATTCAGCTTCAAGTTCATCCTGACCAATGCGTCTCGTATGACAGCAACAATGGTGGCAGCATCCACTTGCGGAACACTATGAAAACCGATAAAATCCTCATGTGGCTCAAGGCTATCGTCCACCCACCCACCTGATCACCATCACACACTGCTCCGTCACACTGCAGTCCACTGTCTCATCCACCATGATTGAGAAGGGTCGATCGCTGATGTTGCTAGCAATTCGTCGCAGGACACGGATAGACATCAGCTTCAGGACTTCATTCTGGATGTCACCACTGGTATACTTACACCTCTTCCGCTCTAGCCACTGCTTCAGATCAGGGTGAAACTCCTGGAACAGCTGCATGGTCTGCATGAAGTTGCCATCCTTTTCATGGCTGTCTTCCGCTGCTGATCCTCGCAATGCCAGGCCTTGTCGTGCAAGAAACTTGATTCCTCGCAGTATCAGCAAGAAGTTTTCCCTCGCCGCCTTCCTCTCACGCGATAGCTGAGAACTTAGCAGCTCATCCACTGGAGTAGTGGTTGCCGGAATTGTGATGAGCTTCTCCACAGCTTCTTTGTGACACATTCTGGTTTCATGCCTGCCCATAACACGCATCGCTTCTTTCCAATTCTGGAAACCAGAAGAGATAAACGACATTTCAGCGGATTTGGTCGTCAGCAAACCAGCTTGTGAGGCCTTCACGCATACATGGCAAAAAGCGCTTTCACGTCTAACATCCCAGTGCAGCCAAGAAAACTTATCAAACCATCCGGCCTGAAACGAACGGTACGTAGGCTTGGCAATGCCAAAGGACCGAAGGGGAAATTGAATATTTCTTGGCTGATGAGGTTTGTCGCCAATTTCGACAGGCAACGCTTCAGTTGAAGCGGAGGCGGACATCGCCACCTTTTCTCTGCGCTGCCAGCCAAAGACTGACTTGACCCACTTACAGTGCCGGTCTCTCTGGAGGCGTGGGTTCGAAACCAACTATGCTATGCGCAGTGCATGCACACCCGCGGCGTGTGGCGGCCTGTATCTGTGAAGAAGCGGTCGGCGCGTCACTGGTCCACAAGTTTCTGCTCAATAGGTTTGCATGCATCTCGAATGTACTCCAAAGTAGAACTAGAGCACGTGTAAACTGTTTGGAGTGCAACTACCACTTCAGTACTGTCGGTCGCCAAAGAACCGGGGGGGGGGGGGGGGGGGGGTCAGCCTCCTAGCCCAGTCGGTTCCTATTTTCATTTACTACAGTTGATGGGCAGTTGAGTCCTCGTGTATACATTGGTATGCTGTGCTTGATGAAATGCTAGCCTGGCCGTTCTTCGGCGCTCGGTTCTTCGGCGCTCCGTTCTTCAGCGCTCCGTTCTTCGGCGCTCCGTTCTTCGGCGCTCCGTTCTTCGGCGCTCCGTTCTTCGGCGCTCCGTTCTTCGGCGCTCCGTTCTTCGGCGCTCCGTTCTTCGGCGCTCCGTTCTTCGGCGCTCCGTTCTTCGGCGCCCGATAGTACTGTAGTCTACTAGTAGTGTGCAGTGCAAGCACAGGCTTGCTGCACCAGTGAAGGTCAATCTATACAGTTACTACATGTAGCAGAGTCTACCAAGAGTCCATACCCCCCCCCCCCCCCATGGACCTTCTGGACTTGTGGACTTATAGACTGATGGACTCTTGCCTTGGTATATGGTAGTAGATCTACGAGTCATGACGCATACATGCCATGCAGTTCCGTAGTCGACAGTCTAGTCTAGTCACGCGTTACACGGTGCAGCGACCTGACTGGTGCACCGGTGACGGATTGCGCTCACAATCACGTATGGTCATGTACAAACTCGATACCCCCATTTTTTTTACACCGGATATGGACGTTCCGCGTTTACCACCTGGAGCCAAAAGTGGTACGGCTCGAGCCGTACCAGTCGTACCGCTTCCGACGCCCTTGGTATAGCGTAACTTGTAGTTCCTTGGTCTTTCTCTTTTGTATAAATTAAACTTTGGCTCTCCATCTGAGTCCATTCTATTTATTTATTTAAGGATTCCCCAAAGGCTGTTCGCCTGTCGAGGGGGTTTCCTAAAAATACAAGCAACTTGTTTTTTCATTTCCGGTGAATCGGTGATCTTTTCCCTTCGTTAGCGATGAGTCCCAGGCCGATTTGCTGTAGAGTCCTTATGCTTTAGGTATTGAAAAGAGTGATTTTCTGTTTAGAAGCTTTCCTTTCCTTACAGTGTTAAAGACGGTAAAACACAAACTAAAAAGCAAAACATGCATGATTAATTGCTTATTCTGTTTGGCTCACTCTACCCAGAGAAGTTAAGGATCTGACCTCACTCCGCCTGTTTAAGATCCGTGCCGCCCCTTATTTACTACGACATAAATAGCTCATTATCCACATGTGCTTTGCGTCTCTGTGTTTTTCACTGTTTTTATTAGACATTATCTTTCTTTACGGAGTTGTTGTTGCTGTTCATTTTGCTACTCTTTCTTTTTCCCTCCCCTTACTTTTATTTATCGCCGTGGTTGGCAATCACCCACTCTCTTCACATTGGCCGGTGTTTCCACCGAGTCTTGAGATGTTGTAATAAATATAAATATAAATATAAATATAAATATGATGATGTTTTGCTGCTATGACTACAGTGCGACTGATTGGCTTTTCTTAATTGACGTATTTGCTCTGCGCACGTGCGTGCGTCCATGTGTGCATGTGTGTGTGTGTGTGTGTGTGTGTGTATGTGTGTGTGTATGTGTGTGTGTGCATATGTGCGTATGTGCATGTGTGGATGCGTCTGTGTTTCTGTGCGTATGGGTCTGTGTTTCACCTTAGATGTTTGGGCAATGTGGAGACACTCAGTACGAAGGAGGAGTGGATATTCATCGCAGTAGCGGTAAGGGGTCGTGCTCTTCCTTTCTGCTTTGTCAACCAGCTTGAAAATATTATTGGATGAAAGTATATCGAGTATACTCAAACCTCGTTTATCCGGGCGGTCCGGGTACCGTGCACTGCCCGTTACTTTGAAATGTACGTATCTCCGAATCACGTACATTTTGATGGGGAAACCCCATAGATATGGCATGTGACGTCACTATTTCCACAAGAAAGTGACAAAAAGAGTTGTAATATTTCCACTGGAATTCGCCCCCAAAGGGTCCGGATAAGCGAAGTATGAGTGTATGGTATCTACTTGCCGTCTGCAGTGTTTGTTCGGCGAGCTGTGAACCATTCACACCCTGAAACATACATTAAAACCTGTAACTAAAGACCACCGTGACTAGCGACCAGCCTGGTACTACAGACCACGTCGCCAGGCATGGACGGTCTCACATTCATATTTTGGTTGTGCGCTGCAAACCCCTAACTACAGTCCATTTCAAAACTATAGACGCATACCTAGGCAAAAACTGTTATGCCAGCATCTATACCACATAAAATCTGTGATCACTTTGTGCATAATTTTTTCCAAATTGGGCGACTGTTATCCAATCGTTTAGAAACTATAGAGAGTAATTGTGGAGCGGTCCTGAGCAATATTCCGAAAACTATTCTCAAAAAGTTCCAGCCAAATTTGAAATATTTCAAAACCCCTACGCGTCTATAGTTTTGAAATGGACTGTAAGGACCACCTGCCACTGAAGACCGCTTTCTCTGGCCCCAAGGGGTGGTTGTTAGTCACAGGTTTTACTGTATGGTTGTGCTATGCAAACCTCTAACTAAAGACCACCTGCCACTGAAGACCGCTTTCTCTGGCCCCAAGGGGTGGTTGTTTGTCACAGGTTTTACTGTATGGTAAGTAAACAAATATTCCTCGCATATTTATTTTCGGCTATTTTCGGCCTGGTTACTGTATAGCAGGAAATTCTCGGACGGAATTTTATTTTCGTACGATTTCGTACATGGCCTCTTTTGTACTAAAATGAATTCTGTACTAAAATTTGTTCATGTGAAATTATGGACACGATACATGCATACTCCTTGCGAACACATCCATTTAGTATGCAGCACTGTCTGAAAATAAAATCCGTACGAAAGGAGGAAATTCGGCTTTGTCCGAAAATATTTCCGTCCGAACATTTCCTGCTGTACAGTATGCTTGGTCGAAAATGTGTTGCAGCCGGAATTTTGTTTTGCAACGTTCAGTGTGACAGTGTATACATGCGGCAGCAGTTCAGGCCGAAAATTTGATGCGGCCAAAATAGGTTTAGCCCTGGGAGGCCGAAATTTGAATGGGCTGAAAATTTGTAGACGTACGGTATTTTCGAAACCCAACAGGACTCAAATCTCTGGGACCTTGCATGTCTTGAGCAATGCTCTACTACTAGTCTAGCCATTTTCTTCTTCTTTTTTTTAACTTTCTGGCAGTTTACTTCCCTGACTGTTTACATTTTGCATTTGCTTGCATCTGCCGCTAGGGTTTACCGGGTGTTAGCGGCCATCGTGAGTTCCCTTTTGGAACGGATACGATAATTTACTTTTTTTAAAAACTTTTTTTACTGTTTACATTGAGTGGAAGTTCCCGTTTCCGTTACTGCATTTTCCGGTGTGTTACCCGCACTGAGGTCTAAGCCCCCTCCCCCCACCCCTTCCGGGCCCAAGATTCGTATCTCATTTGTTTTGGACATTTGGAGTATAAGCCGCACGTCGGATTTTGAATTTCTGGTCATCCAAAGTTGATGGGTTCTCAGGGCTCTATCCAAAGGAGGGTAGGGGGCCACAGCGCCCTCCTACTCTGATTGAGCCCACCCCGTGAAAGAGTGCCCCTGCTCTATTTTTTTTGTCGATTTTTGTATTTTTCATGCCATTCAACCAAGATGCAGTCGATAGTCAGTACATGTACTAGAAGGTTCATAAAGGCAAATATGTCTGGGGTGAAGTTGGGGGTTCGCCATTATTTGGAAAATGGGAAAATGGAACCCTGGTACTAGTAGCACATGCGAGACGTTTACCAATGGTTTAAAAGTTGAGAAGCACGACCAGCAAAAGTTTCTGTTTGTCCCTCACTCAGAACTCGCAACATAAAAGCATCATCGTACAACTGCAATGATGGATTTCTGTGCATGAAAAGTATATTATAAAAAGTAGTTGATTTACTTCAAACATGGGTTTTGTACATGGCACGCCGTATCACTGGTTGATTCATGGCCTGCATTCAGACTCCAAGCCGCAGGGGTGATTTTTGAGTTTTTTTAGACGTCTGAAAGTGCGGCTTGCACCAGTGTTTGCTTCAGAGCCAGGTCAACGACCCGGTTCGGGGGTACTTGGACCCGTTTGGAAAAAAGAACACCGGATCACGTGTGACCCGGTTGGGAATACTGTAATTTCACAAATTTTCGGTGTACTGCTATTTTCGGTTCTTTTGGTGCGTCTCTTTCATACCTAACATTTCAATAAACGAACAAACACTAACAGACATGATCCAATAGGGAACTGCTTCCCTGTACCTAAAATTTCTGTTCACCTAACCTGGCCTTTTGCCCTCATACTGAAAATATTGGGCACCGAAAATTTCTGAAATTTATTGTACATCATGGAGTCCTGACAGATTTACGGCTTCTTGATGTACATGCAGCTGCCGCACTTGAACGTACCCAGCTCTGACCCAGTTTTTTTCATTTCACGGAGAAGGTGGAGAGTCCGAACGTGCCGGTTAAATAAACACTATTATGTCACAAAAAAAGAAGTTGACAAACCCCCTTTCAATTTGAAACTCGGGTATTGAGCCAATAATAAAAGTAGAAAGGAAAAGGACATATGGAAACGAGTTAAGAGTAACTCTCCACCACTGTAACTAGATACTATATACAGTCAGAAAGTGCAACAACTAGGCACAAAACTGACAGAGTACTGAGACATTCGACGTCCTGACACCTAGCTTCAACACATCTCCGTAGCGCTAACCGACAGCCTTCCAACTTGGAAGGTTCAAGGTTATGGAAAGACCAAAGAGGGGAAGGCAAGCGCAACGAAAACGAGCACAAGCTACAGTCCCAACGGAACAAAGAATGTCGATTGTCACTGGACGATGACGAGACCAGTAGGCGATTTGACAAAGCGGTCTAACTACAATTCGAAGCAGCAAAGCAGCACACCACCCAACTTGGGTGGGTCAAAAATATCAAAGATAAGTTAAGAAGGGGGAAGCTTTGCGAGAACGAATTGTACAAGCCGAAATCTAAACTCCTACAGTGCTCCTCATGCATGACATTGTGATGGACTAGTTGACTACAAAACAAGTTGTTTCACACGACGTACGTTTCGCCGTATGGTTCGTGACGGCTCATCAGGTGTGCAATTTGAAACTCGGGTATTGAGCCAATAATAAAAGTAGAAAGGAAAAGGACATATGGAAACGAGTTAAGAGTAACTCTCCACCACTGTAACTAGATACTATATACAGTCAGAAAGTGCAACAACTAGGCACAAAACTGACCGAGTACTGAGACATTCGACGTCCTGACACCTAGCTTCAACACATCTCCGTAGCGCTAACCGACAGCCTTCCAACTTGGAAGGTTCAAGGTTATGGAAAGACCAAAGAGGGGAAGGCAATCCCGTCCAGTGACAATCGACATTCTTTGTTCCGTTGGGACTGTAGCTTGTGCTCGTTTTCGTTGCGCTTGCCTTCCCCACTTTGGTCTTTCCATAACCTTGAACCTTCCAAGTTGGAAGGCTGTCGGTTAGCGCTACGGAGATGTGTTGAAGCTAGGTGTCAGGACGTCGAATGTCTCAGTACTCTGTCAGTTTTGTGCCTAGTTGTTGCACTTTCGGACTGTATATAGTATCTAGTTACAGTGGTGGAGAGTTACTCTTAACTCGTTTCCATTATGTCCTTTTCCTTTCTACAAACCCCCTTTCATTTATTTTAAGAAAAGGAAAAAAAAGCTCTGAGCTGGTTGCAAGAGTTGTGCCACGCATGTACCCGGTTGGTTTGAAATCCTAGAGCAGACACAGAACACAGTCACAAAAATACTGTGAATGATTTATGTCTGTTTCCACAGGCTGGTATCATTATTCTTCATGTGTTGATGGCGAAAAGAAAATCAAGCGGTGGCAGAGTAGCTATACCAGTGTAAGTCTTTGGTTTGTGTGTGTGCGTGTGTGTGTGTGTGCGTGCGTGTATACGTCACTACATGTGTGTGTGTGTGTGTGTGTGTACGTGTACGTGTACGTGTACGTGTGTGTGTGTGTGTGTGTGTATGTGTGTGTGTGTGTGGGGGGGGGGGGAGGGGGTGCTTGTGCGTACTGTCTATACTGGTTGCCCCAGCAAGTGTAGGGTTTGCATAGGTAACTGTCTTGGCCGTTTCTTGCCGATGTACTCGGTGTGGTGTAGACCAGGTGTGCATTGGTGGTCGATTCACATGACTTCGCAGGTTGTGTGGATTAGACATTTATCTGGCGCTAGTCTTGATCTGTCTCATTCAGATCTTGTCCACTATCTTCATCGTTGCTATCAGAGAGAATATGCGCGTGATCAAACCGAAAATTCGATTTGCTGATGCTCCGTACTATTAACATGTCGTTGTGCATGTGTTCTCTTTCCTTTGCAGGCCCATTGACTTTCTCCTGCTATCGGATCGACGCCGGCGTGCAGCCTACTGTCTGGTGTACGGTGGAGCCACGGCAGGCATTGGTACGATCCTACTGGGCAATACCCTGTTCCCAGAGGCAGAGGTCAAGGACAATCCGTTTATAGCAGGTAAGCAGAACGCGGCTGGCGCATCCGTGGTAACCGTGCAGTGCCGTTGCTCCTGGCGCCGCGCACTCCGTCGAATTTCTACGCGCCGTCAATTGTTCCAGTTTGTGAAACCTCTTCTGTGTGTGTGTGTGTGTGTGTGTGTGTGTGTGTGTGTGTGTGTGTGTGTGTGTGTGTCCCATATGGTGCAGTGGTATGTGCAATCGATTTCCAATCGAGGGGTTGCGGGTTCAATTCCCGGCGATCATGGTCGCACACGTCTTTCTTCTCTTTCTCGGACTCTTCCTGACTTTTCTTTCATTCTCCTGGGTGGTTACCAACAGCCAGTGTATGCCGGAGTATGTGGTGTGGTGTGTGTGCGTAAAAAAAATGGAAAAATGGAAAATAGGGATTCACTGGCCAGAAAAAGTCACTTCAAACAGCTGTGTGGTGGATACCAGGCTAAAAAAATAGTGGCGGTCAATTCATCAGCCTTGCAAGCTGTTGAATGGTGTAATCCCAGCACAAGTTGCTATGTCTAACATAGCTGTTCGCTATCATCGCTTCCGCGATGGGCATGTCTGAGGTCTGAGGTGTGAAAATGCAGTGTTAAAGCTATACATGCACCGCTGTACAAAACGTTCTAGCTTTGAAGCTACAGTTGCGCTCGGTGGAATCCGACGCAAAGTGCAAAGCTTGCGCCCTGGACCAATTCCGATTACATCTTTGTATTTACACACTCCTATGCACGTGCAGCCACATTCCGATTTCCCCCGAGGTCAACTGTGCTTCAGCGTAGTAGACGTCCGAATTGCGGTGTTGAACCGACGCATGCACTGCTGCACAGTATGCATACCGATGCAGTGCTGATAGTAAAAAAAGAAAGAAAAAAAAGAAGAAGAAAAAAGATGTGTCTAGGGAAGTAACTGTGCAATGTCCAGCGCTGCAAGTCATATCCGATTCACGTTTTAATGTGTACTTTACAGTAGCGAGGTTTCGCTTCACGTTGTTCTGCACTGCACCGTGAAACTCGCGTTCACGTCGAACGTGAGTGGACCTCGGCTCACGTCACGAACGGGAGTTTCGACGCCAAAATTTGCCGCACCGACGTGAAATTTCACGGTGTAGTGCAGAAACAACGTGAAGCGAAACCTCTCTAGTGTTCATGTACAGTGATGCTAAATAGAGAGGTTAAAAAGATGCACGTTATTTCTGACGTGACGTGAAAGTTCTGCTCGCGTTCTTTTGGCTCGCGTGTCGAAAAGCAACGCGGGTGACCTGCAGCTCACGTCTAAATGTGGAGCTTTACGCCAAATTTGACGTGAAATTGCGCGTCACGTCGGAAACAACGTGCATCGTCACGTCTCTAATGAAGTCCAGTGGCGAGAGTCAAGCTTGCGCCTTGCACATTTTCGCAGCCCAGTGTTCGCAGGTCCGCAGGCTGCACAACGCCCGGCGCCTACTCGAGACACTCGACTGGATTTCATTGAGCAGTGCTGTAGTTCCTAACCCCTGATGTAAAACAGGTCGGGAAAGCAAACCAGTGTGTGAAGGGGGTGGTGGTGGTGTTTTTTTGTTTTTTTATTCATTTTTTTTACTAAAATGTGGGGGGGGGGAAGGGTTGGTTAAAGCTGCATTAAGATCGTCTCGGCTCTGCCACGTTTAGCCTCATGTTGGAGTATCCGTTGGAATTTGTTTACTTTGTACTTGACAGAATCTGAACGTGAGTGACATTCTAAGCGGTTGAAGTGCAGTTTCGGTCGCTAGGGATTAAGTGTGTATTTGCTGTTTAGAGGCATGATTGCCAGGCTTTTCGGAAACATTTACATGTTTGTGTTCATGTGAGGTTTGGGCATTCTTTGTGTGTATCTGTGTTCGTGTGTTCGCCCATGTGTGTGTGTGTGTGTGTGTGTGTATGTGTGTGTGTGTGTGTGTGTGTGTGTGTGTGCACGTGTATGCGTGTGCTCGTGCGTGAGAGCATGTGTGTGTGTGTGTGTGTATGCGATCGTGCGTGTGTGTTTGCGCATGCATATGTTCCTGTGCGTGTGTGTACACATCCATGCATGCCTTCTCTCCGCTCACAGTCTTGGTGAAGATTCTCTCCTTCTCGCTCGTCGGCTTGGTCTACTATCCTATGTTCATCTCCGTGACCACTTCCAACTCCATCATAAGCAACATCATTGGTCTGCTCTACACGAGTTCCTTGTGAGTGCATTGGTACAGTATTATTATTATTGTGAAAAAGGAGAAGGAAAAAAAATGTTACGAGTTATGACTAACTGTCCATCAACGTAACCAGATCTTATACGGTCAGCGAGTTTTTTCCTTCTCCTTTTTCACCATAATTTAATTGGCTCACGATCCGAGTTGAATTATTATTATTATTATTATTATTATTTTGCTTGTTCGCGTTGACATCACCAAGCAAGCTTGGCTAGTCTTCGCACAAGCCAAATGAACTAAAGAAATGAGGATCCGAACGAGAATGGGCACAGTGTGGTGCTCAATGAAATCCAGTCGTGTGAGTCAAGCGTGCGCCCTGCACTGTGTCTCAGCCCAGTGTTCGCAGGCCTGGGGCTGCGCAACGCCCGGCGCGCGCGTGAGCGACGCGACTGGATTTCGTTGAGCAGCACTGGTAGCTTGTAGTCTGATTTTCATATGCATCCCATGGCATCGTACCTCCTGTGGCAGCCGTCTCAGGCCAGTCTGTGCTTTGTACGTATCTGTGCGCCTATCTTCCCTGGATCTGAATTTTTGCATTTCTTGCTTGTTTTTTTTTATGAGGAATCTCATTGTCACGACGATGGTCTAATCTGGAGTGGGATCTTTTCTCCAGCTTTTGTTTTCGCTGGTCGTGCAGTGTTGAGTCTGTAGTCATTCTAATGCTCTTTATTCTTCAACTGTTTTGTTGTTGCTGCTGTTGTTGTTGCTGCTCCTGCTGCTGCTGCTGGTGCTGCTGCTGCTGGTGGTGATGCCGCTCCTGCTGCTGCTGGTGGTGGTGCTGTTGCTGCTGTTGCTGTTGCTGCTGCTGTTGTTGCGGCTGCTGCTGCTACTGCTGCTGTTGTTGTTGTTGTTCCAGTTTGGTAGCCAAGATTGTGTTTCTGGCCGAGTGTCCAGATACTCTTGTGAGTATAGCTGTGCTGGCACTAGTCAGCCTCGCATGCTCATCACTGCAAGATCCTACTCAACTGTCGTTACGATGATGTGAACGCTTTTACACGGAACAGAGTGGAGTTCACATCAGATTGTCATGTGACTATATTTGTGCAGAAAGTGATCATGTCATGTGTACAGTGGAACCAACATGGCCACCGACATCACGTGACCCATAGTTGCAGGGGTTGAGTGGAGTTGGAGCCAACATGGCCGACATCACGTGACCCATAGATGCTGGGGTTGGCTGGAGTTGGAACCAACATGGCCGACATCACGTGACCCATAGATGCAGGGGTTGAGTGGAGTTGGAACCAACATGACTGTCACGCAGATTTTGAGTTTTTTGCGCTCCATACATGATTTTATTTTCATTATTTTATTGGTTTGGTGAGACTGCCATGATAGGTATCCATTTACCTCTGGAGAATCCGTAAATAAACAAACAAACAAACAAAAGCATGATCATGTGATAGACGTAAAACCACTCTATTATAATCACTATTGACTTGCTGGTGGGAACATACACATTTTGGAGATGTTTCTTATAACGGCCATTTCGAATCTAAAATGCTTGAAGAAATGTTTGTTATGGTTGTCTTGTCATTTTCTGTTGTGCGCCGCCTCGACTTGACTGCTGATAACTTTTGTTTGGATTTATGTGTGCGCGGGCGTATGTGTGTGTGCGTGTGTGTGCACACGTTTCGTCTGCCCAGACGGCTGTGAGTTTGGTTCTGTCTAACTTGCCAGCCTTCCTGGCTATCGTGGTCATCATCTTGTACCTCCTAACCAAATTGGTGCGGAACATAAAGAGGGGATCTGAGGAGGAGGTGAGCTGCTCAGAATCTGTATATCTCCTTAGTAGGAGTATGAATGGCAGTTGCGTGTCCGTTCCCGTGTCTGTGCGTCTGTTTGTGTGCCTGCTTGTGTGTTCGCTTATGTGTCAGTTTGTTTGTCCGTTTATGTGTGTGTGCGTGTGTGTGTGTGTGTGTGTGTGTGTGTGTGTGTGTGCCTGATTGTGTGTCTGAGTGTCTGCTTGTGTGGCTAATTGCCTGTGTGATACGTTCGCTCTCACACACGTCTGTGTCATTGTTCTCTATACTGTGCTGTCAGAGCTGGCCGCTTGAACCCCAGGAAGAGACACCCGTGCTGGACGCTGACGAAAACATCTGGCAGGTGGCTTACGTCAAGCGTCTGTTCCATCCACAGTGAGTCTCTTTACAGTCCATTTCAAAACTATAGACGCGTACCTAGGCCAAAACCGTTATGCCAGCATCTATACCACATAAAATCTGTGATCACTTTGTGCATAATTTTTTCTAAATTGGGCATCTGTTATCCAATCGTTTAGAAACTATATGAGAGTAATTGTGGAGCGGTCCTGAGCAATATTCCGAAAACTATTCTCAAAAAGTTCCAGCCAACTTTGAAATAATATTATTTCAAAAACCCTACGCGTCTATAGTTTTGAAACTGACTGTAGAGGACTGTAACTCAACAAATATTGGGCGCATATTTATTTTCGGCTATTTTCGGCCGGCCTGTTCATGTTTGGCCGTAAATTTTGTTGCGGCCGAAAATTTTGTTTTGCAAGGTTCAGTGTGACAGCGTATGCATGCGGCATCAGGACAGGCCGAAAATTTGATGCGGCCGAAATGGATTTTAGCCCTGGGAGGCCGACATTTGAATGGGCCGAAAATTTGTGGACTTACAGTATTTTTACCATACATGTACTCCGATGTGTATTTTGAAAATACACATCAGTTTGTCATGTGACTAAGGGCGCATTCGAATTGTCACTCTTTGATTTTTCGAGGAGTTTCGTTTTTCTGAAGAGGTGGCCTTATTGGCCTCTTCAGAAAAACGAAGCTCCTCGAAACTCCACAACCTCATCCGATGGGAGAGGTGGATTAGTTTCGAAGAGTTTGGAATAGCTACGTCACGTAGTACGTGGAGAGGGTAGATCTGATCGGACGTCATCATCGCCATGACAATTCCACTGAAAAACTCTAAAATGATTGAAATCGTTCTAATGGGACACTTCAACTAATCTCTTTTAAAAATTTGTTTGAACAGTTGATGAAGACAATTCGAACGCGCCCTAAATTTGTGCAGAAAGTAACCATAGCCTGTGGACAAGTGGAGCCCAAATTTGCCAGCAATTCTTCCAGGAAAATATCCACATCTCCCATGCTGGCCAACTCCCACATTTCCCATGCGGGCAAATTCCGAGCAAAAACATCAAACTCTTACAGGATCCGGGTGTGTTTGGCACTTTTATTCTGATTTTTTGGTTTCGTTGGGGCAATTTCGCCTGCAATGTCAGGGGTACTTTAGCTGGCTTCTGTACCCTTGGGGTCCAGCACATGTTGCATCCACAGTTGAGTCTATAGAGCACCTTCACATCTTGGTCATGTGACTCAATTTTGTGCAGAAAGTGATCATGATTGTCATGTGGACTGTGGAACAAACATGGCCGACATCACGTGACCCATAGATGCAGGTGTTGTGTGGAGTTTGTTAGACGCAACCTGTGGTTGTCCTTAACAGTCATGTGACTGATGTGAAACCACACGATAGAGCGTTTTCGGGATTTAGCCCTTTCGCCTCTGGTTGGTGGATCTGATCTATCCTCCCCCACCGTTTAGGAGCCGCATCTGACGCCTGATCATGGGGTGGTGGCGTCCCACGGAAGCGGAAAGGTGGTTCTCGACCAGGGAGTTCAGGGCTCACCACGACCATACAAAATTCAAAAAGCGTCGACCACCATTTTGAAAACATGGCGTTGCCGCCAAAGCCAGAGTTTGTGCAGTCATAGCGGCTACGCACCCGAGTTCATGCTCATCGATGTACAGCGATGTACAATCTAGTCGTAAAATACCGGTATTTTACGACTCCCTGGTCTACTCTGTACAGCGAAGGGCCAGTGCCGAAGCGAATCTTGTTGTTTGATGTCGGGAAAGACACGCGGAGAAGACGTCCTTTCTCCAAGTCATTTTTCTCAATCCGCTGGTGGGTGTCGACCAAGATATGTCCGTGAGGTACTGGTGAACTTGAGTCCTGGCATCTACAAGAATTTGCCGCGCCTAGCTAACCAATGTTGTCAGTAGAACTCAGCATTTCCTGATCGCGACTCGGCACTCTTTTCTGTTTGGCCTCGCAGCTTTCACGCTGCGAGTGGGGAGTTTCCTGGCCACAAATGAATCCCTCAGTCATGACCATGATGAGAGGTGACTGGTATGATCCCTGACTGGCATGAGTCCTTTAGCTTGAGTCAACACGAAGGTAAACTCTTCACTTGGAACGCTTGCTGTCTCCTCCGTCCTTTCTTGTTGCACTTGCAGATATGCGCACGGCTGCCAGTTTTTGTCGGTGCGCGCGGCGACGCACGGCCGACCTTGATGTCTTCAAAAAAGTAGAACAGCGGTTCTCCTACGCCGATTCTCACCATCGATAGCTCATTTTCAAGGTCTTGGAATTCTCTATCGGTTTACCGTCCCCGATTTTTAATTTTCTCTTCATTCACTTGTTCGCACGCCTTCGCGTTTGAGTGATTTCACCATCCGATCTCAGCCAAACGAAGGCCAAATCGAAAAATTCAAGACGGTAACCCTCCAAAGACACACCTTCTGAACACGAATCCACAAGTGCCTAATGTCTAAAACCAACGAATACAGCCAAGCTCCACTCAGAAAACACCCCACAATTGCAAGAAACAGCCCGTTTTGCCGTGCGCTGATTGGTCAAATCCAAATGACCGTTATTGACGCTTTGTATGGTCGTGGTGAGCCCTGGAGTTGTACGACTCCTTGTTCTTCACCTGCCCGGTACGCAAAACCGTCGAATGTTTTTAGGTACTACAGTACAGTCGGAGTAAAAAACCGGCCACGGCTCTACATCAGGGAGTCGTAATATACTGGTATTTTACGACTCCCTGATGTACATGGCATAGTCTAACCCATGCACTAGCACAGTACGTACCTATCATGTGACATAACTACACTACACTACTGCTCAGTGAAGTCCAGTCGCGTCGCTCAAGTAAGCGCCGGCCCGCGGTGGTTGCGCAGCCCGAAACCTGCTGCGAACGCTGGGCTGCGAAATGGTGCAAGACGCAAAACGTCAGTGACGCGACTGATTCCATTGGCCAGCACTGTAGTACCTGCATAGTCAGGTGCAGTCAGTGCAGTCAGTGCAGTCGGTGCAGTCAGTGCAGTCAGTGCAATCAGTGCACTCAGTGCACTCAGTGCACTCAGTGCAGTGCTGGTAGATCTGAATCAACCACTGGTAAAAAGCATGCATGCCACCATGTGGTACCACCGTGTCCGCACACCATACCTCTGTATCGGCCTGGCCGGCTATTTGTGTTTGGCGACAGCTGTACTACTACTGCTACATAGTACGAAAAGGATGTTGAGTGCTGATGAACGGGTATGGATCACAAGCATCATGCAGCAATCATGGAGTACAATGTACAGTTCATTCATTGGAAACTGGCACCCTAACTTTTTGGTGTCTCTCTCACATAGTTGTAGATATCGTGAAAACAACAGTACATCCTACATTGTGTGACCTGTGCAGTTACTCCTTGCCACATTTGAGGGCAGAAAAGTCCAAGAACTGGGAAATAGAAATTCAGCCAGGTTTTACCAAAATAGGACAGGTATGCCATGGCAATATGTATGGACAAGCAGATCCCAAACCCAGGTTTTTTAGATTTAAAGTGAGTTTTGATCCTCAATTCAGCCCAAATTGGAGTTGACTTTCAAAAGCCAGCGGGACTGTTTCCGGTGAATGAACTGTATTACAATGCCTAAATTAAATAATGGCTTGTACTAGTCCCTGATCAGAAGCATGAGCACTGCGTAAAAGTTCACAAAGGCCAAGGGCTGGTGAACACCACATGGCCGAAAGAATAGTACCATGAAAAAAGCGCTATAAAGAAAAGCGTACTGAAATCTCTAAACACCTGCAGTTTTGAATCCACATCCGTTTCCATGGCAATCCATGATCTCTGTGTGTGTGTGTGTGTGTGTGTGTGTGTGTGCGTGTGTGCATGCGTGTGTGTGCATGCGTGTGTGTGCGTACATGCGTGTGGGTGTGTGTGTGTGCATGCGTGTGCGTGCATGCGTGCGTGCGTGCATGTGCGTGCGTGCGTGTGTGTGCTTGTAGAGTTGGAGTTGCTCCTGTAGGCAGGCACTGCTTGACAATATTCTGTTCTTGTTGTTTTTTTGTTCTGCCAGGCCACCACCCAGTGAGCAAGTGTCATCATGCTTCAAGCACTGGAAGCTACAGGTGTATAACCCCGATCATCGTAAGTACTGTCATTTCACAAATTTTCGGTGTACTTTTATTTTCGGTACTTTCGGTGCAGCTGTTTCATACCTAAAATTTCAATACACCGAACAAACACTAACACATATAATCCAATAGGGAACTGCTTCTCTGTACCGAAAATTTCTGCTCACCTAACCTGGCCTTTTGCCCTCATACCGAAAAATTTGAGCACCCAAAATTTCTGAAATTGGAGTAATCTCATTTCCAAGTCAGTAGGCAATGCGTCCACATTCCTGTAGCACAAAATAATGATGTCGGACTCTAAAGGGACCACTGTATAATAGGTTCCGTCCTTTTAATAAAATACCCAATAAGGGCGCGTTCAGACTGGGCGTGAACAGCCACCGGAATGCTGCAGCGTAATCCCGGGAATCGCAATCACACTGTACATGTATCCCGCTGGAATGGTGAGTACATGTCATACGTTTACAGACTTTGACAAGCTTTTTACATAATCAATCGATATTTTAAATTTTTGATTTGACTCAGTTTGAGTTGGACATCAAAATAAACTAATTCATTCTGTTGAGATACTGGATCATTGTGCTTTTGCTTGTGCTTGTCGACGGAAAGAATACGATGTCCGGAGTGTTTGGTGCTCGGGTGGTCTTGCAAGGGCGAGGTGATCATGTACATACTCCTGTCGGCCTGCGGTCTAGAACGACAACAGCGTCGTGTAGATTGTCTTCGGGTAAATCCCAGCACACAAGGAGGCGATGTTTACCTCGTGACATCCAGTCACCTTTGCCTGGCAGCTGCTCTCGTTGGAGGAGGCAATCTGTCCTTTTTGCCACTGCTTGCCGCAGAAGAGGTGGCAGCTTGTAGGAGAGCGAGGCGGTGGTGGTGGTTCATCCATCGAGGTCGTCCTGGATTTTGGGAGGAGAAAGTGCAACTGTGGCACAGAGTGGCAGATAATTAAAGCATTCCAGGTGAGGCAGACGTATCTGGATCAGAGATAGCTGAGAACGTACCGGTTTGACTGTCGCACATTTTTTTTTGGACAAGTCCAAGAACACCTTCGATGCCAGGTCACCCGTTTGCGTTCACCTGTAGCACCAGAGAAGAGGTTTGCCATCACATTGCATTGGCTGGCCCATGCCCTCACATTTGACCAGCTTTCACAGGTGTACTGCACAGGATCATCTACTGCCCACCAAATCGTTCACGACACTATCGCAGTGGTGAAGACCCTGGTCTCGAAATGTACTATGTTCCCTTCTGGCAACGAGCTGCAAACAGTCATGGCTGGCTTTGAAGACCTGGCAAACTTGCGTCTGTGCGCTGGAGCTATTGACGGTACATTCGTCCACATCAAAAAGCCAGCCCTGTGGGGCGATACTTACTGGTGCTATAAAAACTTCATAGCAATTATTATGCTCGTCGTTTGTGACGGAGATATTGAGTTCGTCTTACTTCCGCAACAGGCTTTGGAGAAGTTGGGCATTTAATGTCTTCTAATCCATACGCACTTCAGCGGCTTTCACTTCTCTGGCCTCTTCTCGTTTCTCCTGGTACTCCCTCTCTTCCCTTGTCTTCTTTTCATCATACTCCCGCTTTTCTCGCTCACGCCGGTCGTCCTCCTCCCGTCTCTCCCTTGCACGTCGATCATCCTCTTCCCTTCTTTCTCTTTCTCGCCGATCCTCATTCTCTTGTCGGCGTGCCTCCATGCGCTCCTGAAACTCCTCGTTCTGCCGTGATCTTTCCTGATCGGCTTGTATCTGGCGCTCCTGCAATTCCAGAACGGTATCTATCATAGATGGATTATGATCCTCCCGCTTTCGGGTTGTTTTTCGGGCAGGCTTCCGGCCAGGCTCAAGCTGAGAAGCAACCTCGGACTCAGAGTCCGACGATCGGCGGCAGCGGCGAGAATGAACAACAATGGGAGAATGAACAACGGGAGACGCTGTGATGGATGCGGCACCAGCAACACTGGTGGTCGATGTCTGATAGTGTTGCCCCTGTTGGGGATGCAGGTGGTCCGTCCGTAGCTGGGCTCACGAAAACAGTGTCCTCGTTGTTCCCTCCAGGACCTAGCGACTGATATTTGAAGAACAACGAGTGGTAGAGTTGGAAATACCCCCACTCTTTGTATGCAGCCTGTGCAGTGGAGGAAATGGGAGGAAAGAGAGAGAGGGAGAGAGGGAGAGAGAGAGAAGAGAGAGAGAGAGAGAGAGAGAGAGAGAGAGAGAGAGAGAGAGAGAGAGAGAGAGAGAGAGAGAGAGAGAGAGAGAGAGAGAGAGGGAGGGAGGGAGGGAGGGAGGGAGGGAGGGAGGGAGGGAGGGAGGGAGGGAGGGAGGGAGGGAGGGAGGGAGGGAGGGAGGGAGGGAGGGAGGGAGGGAGAGAAAGAGAGAGAGAAAGAGAGAGAGAAAATAGAGAGAGACG